TGATTAACGTTTCGGATGCTTTTCCCAGCAACATTAGTATATAAACTTCAATTCAGAAAGAGATTAAAAAAAAAATTATCATTATTTTTACTAATTTAATGGCTCCCACGATTCTTTTTAAATACATGCAGCATTGACTTTGAAAAGGAATTGGAATATGACAAAGATAAACTATAGCTGTCATCCTGCACGTCCTGCAACATGCCCTTTTTGGTCACACATCCCTGCGTGGAGGCAAACCTCCTGAATTCCTGAGTTCCGCACAAGTGGAGGTGGGTGCCTTTGCCCCGTGCACTGCAGACCACAGCACAGGTTATGACTGACAACTTCTAGAGCTCCTTGGGCACATGAGAAGAAAAGTTCTTTGTTTCTTCTTGTGGTTTTTTTTAACATAGGCCAACGAATCTCAGCATTCTGAGTACACGTAAATATTGAGGAAGAATTTGTTTTTTTCTTTTTTTTTTTTTTATTCAAAGAATTTTCTATTTCACAACATCCACTGCCGTAGGACAGCAGCTAGTAATTTTGCATGCTTCATGTCGTTCATTTTTTCCCCCTTCATTAACACATCTAAGAATAAGGAATGAAGGCCATTTCTACAGAATGGGAAATGGCAGCCTGGTAAACAGTGACTAGGAAAGGATCTAGGAAAAACACTGGAAAAACAACTCACCCTGAAAGCCCAGATTGCTCTTGCGCAACTGTAGCTTTAGAAGGTATAAGCATGGCAATTGCAAAGAGGTTTTTTTTCTACCATATACAGCATTAGTGAAGCTGATACAGGTCCAGAGTACAGTTTTGATGCTTACACTTAGTAAAGACTATGGAACTAGTGGAGAAATTTCTGAGAAGAGTCACAGACTTATTAAATGGATGAGGAAAACACCCGCCGGCAAGAGGTTTGAGAGTACCTGTGATCAAAAGGAAGAGCGAAAGGTGTTTGGAGACGGCAGCGGCAGATAGATGCACGGGGAGATACACCAGAGAACAAAAAGAAAAAAAAAAGCACTTCAGTCAATAAGGAGCAAAAGCCAGAGAAATTCACATTAGAAATTAGCCACAACAATTTGACAATAAAGCTGACAGACAACTGGAACCAAGTGCCCAAGGAAGTGGCAGAGGCGGCGTAACTCAATGCCTTCAAATGCAGCCCAGATGCTTTCATGGAAGACTTCTGAGAAATAGTCTTTCTCCAACCAAGACCAAGAAAATCCCATGCTGGGCTAGCCCCAGTAGCAACAGCCAGTATGAAACCAAAAAGCACCTAAATGTTTACCTCTGCGTATAAGAACATTTCCAAGTAGGGTATTAGAAGCAAGCCAGGTATGGAGAGGTCAGCTGAGCATTTATGATGAAACGAGAAGGACAATGACCACGGAGCCACAAGGAAAAGCCTCACCCAGGAATCACAAGTAAAGGAGAATTCAATAAACAGCATCACCTTCCCCAAAAGAAACCGTCCCAAAATGGACTGGATGGAGTAGCCACCCTCCCAAGGCACTGGGTTGTCTCCTAAAGCTAGCCCTAGCTGCATGGGAGAGACTGGGAACAGAAGCTGCAAACCACTGGGAATAAAAGCTTTTCATGTGATAAGTGCTATGTAGAAATTCACCCACATCAAAGAGCAGCAAGAAACAGTTGTTCATCTTCCATTTGAAGCTGCAATTAATTAGATTTATGTCTGTAAAAATTCACATAAGATTTGCTTTAATGCGTCCTTTTAAGATTTGCCTTTTTGTCTGCCTCCTTGCACTACTTTGGATTGAGAAAAGATAATACTGAACTAAAAGATGAAGACATAGGAGAGTAAATGAGGATTCATTTACTCAGCTGAACCAGCAGGCACTCTTAAAACACTGTTCAAAAACAAGGGGAAAACGTCCCTGGCAAGCATTTAGGTCAGGATGAGATTTTCAAGTTTTTAGAACTTTGTTCAGCAAAACTAATGGTGCCTCAGAAACATGTGTGTGCTCAAATTCACCGCTGAGGGCTTAGCTCACTTCCACTGGAGATTTTTTCTGGAAAGAAGATATAGTCCCTTTTTCTTCAGTTGGAAACAATCATAAGTAAATGCCATGATGCTTTTCTGAATAATCAGAGAGCTTTAAGTGCTGACAGGTTTATAAGCAGGTGCAGGGTGCAAAGGGGGGAAGTCCAAGTGATTTGTCATTGCTGCTATTCACATCAGTGATGTTAAACAAAAATCCAAGTTTATTTTTCTTACTACTGTTTGGGAAGCTGAGAAGCACCAATAAGCGAAAGCAAAGCAGACTCCCGTTTTGCACGACTCTGCTTACACTTTCTCTGCTTCTCTAGTACCTTGGTCATATGCTCTAAATGGCTTAACGCAATCCCTACAGATCTTGAAAGCACTCAACCAGAGAAGTGCAAGGTGAGTGGAAGAGACTCCTTTTGCCCCAACAGTGACTTTCAAGCTTACCAAAAGACTAGCAAAGATAACATGCCTTCTATCTCCTGTGCGTCTGCTGGCTCGATACATGCAGGAGGGAGGAGAATAAAGCGTTCTTTATCCCTTCCTGCAAACAAAAGCTTGGTTTCAAAGGTATAAAATGCCAAACGAGAAGCGAGTTTGGTCACTGGACTAATGCCCAGGATGGCTGCCCCTGCAAAAATTCATGATTTCCAGTAACGGCTCTGCTACAATGGCATGTAGAAAGCCTCATCCCTTTCCTTGGGAAAGAGCAAGGGGTTTCACCAAAGTAGGGTTCTTCAATCTTCAAGCTGATCTTTGAGCCTTTCACGGATCTGAAGTTGCCCTAAGCCTGCAGTCAGGAGTCGGTTATCTCCTACCCGTCCCTGCACATCCGTCCCACTCCCCACTGCACTGGCTGTTCACGGCGAGCGGCTGTCTAAGGTCTTCAGCTGTCAGCCAGAAAACACCACGTTGATACTTTGACCCTCATTCTTTTAGTTTCTGGGGTATTGCACAGCTTTTACATTGAGCTGGCAGAAAAGCTGGGGCAAATGGGAAGAACCACAGTCCACAGACAATTTGAGTTCAGCTATCCACTGGAGATGGTCTATAAAGGAATAGTTTCAAAAAAATCAAGCAAAACTAAAACACTTTTGCAATACTGTAATATTTAGAATGTGTATTTAAATCACATTCTTGAAATTTCTGCAAAATCACTACCTGACACTCCAGTTCCTAATGAAATTCAGTTAAAAAAAAAAAATCACCCTAGAATTACAGAACAGAGAAAATACTCAACATGCTACTTCACTATTAGGTGTAACACCGCCAATAAATTTTGAAACTAGAGACAAAACTCTCAAAAATGTTTAATTTATCAGAAAACACTAGGAAATGCTAAACCAAAAGTAAGCAATGTTGCTGCACTTCAATGATGTCTCATTTAAAAGATTCATCAGCCTTTTCACTACTATACAGCTACTTGCTAAACCAAGTATCCTCTCAATAAAACAAAAAATACGTTTTTCAGGTTTGCAAGGAACAGCCAAAAAGGAAACTGCAAATAATTTTATACATCTTATATAATTTTTATATATTTTCACAAATTTGTAGTGGAAGAAAAATGTAGAGCAATTTCATCTCATGGATACACTAGAGAAGAAATATGTTACCTATGTGGCAAGGATGTACCTACCATATGTATAAAAAATGGGATTTTGGGGAGAGCAAGAGGTAACGATGTTCCTCTTTCTCATGTACCTGATGTTGCGTACCATCTCTGAAAAATCAGTTTAATCAAGAAACATCCCTTTGACCCTCAGGTGTGGCTACTGGTTTGATCTTGCATTTCAGCAGAGAGAAGAGATCATTTACCAAAGATCTGAAGTCCTAGTCTAATGAGTTTTATTCTTTAAAGATTATACATTAGAAATGGAACTTTCATGGAATCAACATAGAGAACACGGAAGATCGTAATTTTGTTTAACTCTTCTTGTTTTCAAGTAACAAAATCATGCCCATAGTTAAGTTATATATCAAGTGAATTTCCCATTGCTCAAAATATTTTATTTTATAAAAAAAAAAAAACAAAACAGCCCCCCCCAATTTTATCATGTCTTACTACACTGTCTACCTGTGCCTGAAGCCATACGTGCAAAGGACACGCACTGACATTACCACGTAAACAAAATGCTGGGAAGTTACGCAACTCTTGCAAAGATTTGCAGAAAATTCACACTTCTACAGAAATTTTTTTATCTAAATGTGAGGAGTCCAACCTAGTGGCACAGATGGCATGGTTCCTGAATATAATTTCCAAATTAAATTTACAGCCTGGGCAATAACCATCTGCAGTCCATCTTTAACCTCTGTGTCCTGGCTAAATGCTAACTGGCACCACTCATTTGCATCCTTCCAAAAATTCCTCAGAAGTTTCATCCAAATTCAATTTTCTTCACATTCCATGCTATAAATGTCTCTAGAGTCTTGCTGCGTACTTTTAAATAGCTGCCAGAAGGGACTGCACTCCCAGGACACAGAGCATAATCCGTTTCCATGGTTTATAAATAATTCCGTGAAATTATAATTCTGCGGAATGGGGACTATTTTGTCAGAAGAAAATTAAATTGGTTAAATTGGTGAAGAGTTATTCCAGGTACAAAATTAATGAACTCAGTGGAGTTTTCAGTCTTGTATTAGTATCTGACTATACAGAAATGAAATATTCACAACAGTGCACTTTTAAAACACGAGTGCACAGTTTAAAGACCCAAGTTACCATCTCATGCATGTTGGCTAGAAATGTTATAACCCAAGATCATCTCGGAGGCAAAGGCATGCAATAACACCCTGGCTTTTCACAAACATACTGTACATAACTATTCTGTAGCAAAGAGAGCGCAGGAAAAAAACACCCCAACTTATGAATGTGACTTCCAGTGCCAGAAAGGAGGGGAAAAAAAAAGTACACTGTATTGTTTATATATAAAAAAGGAGGGAAAATGTTCTATGTATTACAATTAATAGAAAACAATGAAAAAGATTTTTAACTGAAAAAATGCCTTACCTTGAGAAGTTGAGGAAATGAACATGTCTAGTGAATAAATATGGCTGCTCAGCAGTGCTTATGTTTTTAATCAATTCCATCTAAAAAGAATTAACAAATCAAATTTTCCATGTTACATCAATGCACATTTTGAGACAAACATAACTCTCAAACAACATATGATGATGTAATTTTCAAGTCTGAATTACTCAGGAACTCCTTCCCCACCATCCCTTTGAAACACTCATCAAGATAGCACAACTACTATTTCATGTCTAAGCAAGAAAGGTTAAGCTGCAGACACCACCTTGCTCTCATGGAGCTTATGTACTTCCAAAAGTGGGTATCAGTTTAAGGAAAGGCATAAACTAAAGGTAAAATCTAAACCCTGACTAAATCTGCACTAGAGCTTTGCAAGTGGCAGCTGCCCTCTGAAGACACTGGCTCTATTCACAAGAATGCCAAAATGTAAAGTGTCTGAAACTGTAACAGAAAGTGGGAGCTGAGCCAATGACCATTTTCATATAACAATAAAAACTGCCAACATTTGCAAAACACTGAATGATCCGCCTGTTTCAATACAGAAATTGGCACTTGCCATTCCTTTTACTATTACAGCAAATTGAGAGCACAAATCAAATGGGCACGTTTAGAAAGATGGTGCCACGTTCTAGTTCAGGCACATTCACCGCATTTTAATTTTTTTAAGAAAATAAATGGTTTAAGTTTTCAGGTCACTAAAATGGAATAATGTAAACAGCATATATTGAAGACTGCGCACCATGGATATGAATATCTATGTTGTGTAAGCTGAGCTCCAGCTATGATCTAGAGGAAACAGAAAGTGTCTAGTGGAGCATCATGATTGAGAGTGGAGATGTCCTGGTTAATTTTGCTTCCTTACTATTAATTTCCTAAGATTTATTTTCAGATTTTCTGTTCTGTGCTCAAATGCAGGCTCTATTACGGACACTGAACACAAATGCATTTGAAATGATAGGTTTATTGATTTTACAAATTAGGAATAGAAAGTAATACAGAAAGTAACAAAAATTCATAAACTGAAAAAAAAAAGATAAGAGAAGGTGAACCAAACATTCTGCTTTGAGTCATATCAATTCATACACTAAATTTAAACACCATTAAGGGGACATTAATTAAAAAAAATTTCTATTTCTTAAAACTTGAATGTTATAGCTGACATAGACAAAAAAAGGAAAAACATGGGGTCCAGCCTGTTACGTGGTCAAGATAAACTGACTGGCATGTGATGAGTTACTGCAGTAAAAGCCTGAAGAGCATGGTAGAAAATGATGTCCGTGCCATAACAAATATTAAACTACATTTAAGGGACAGCAACTGTCAATTTTTTTTCCTTCTATTTCCCAGTTTCAATATAATGGTATTTTGCCATGGTTTTTACACTGTCTGTCACATTTTACTGCTTCTCATCCGTCTTTCATTCTCCATTTTTTTCCTAGGACACATAACCTGCCACCTTCTTTCAGACAACACAAGCTATAGCCATTTAACTTCTAGGACCAAATAAAAAAGTGCACAGACTAATACGCTTTTCCCTACTTTTCCTCTGCCTTCAACAATTTTATACACATACACGTACGATGAGCACTGAAGCGAAAAGTTCAGTTTGTCCATCCTCTCAGAATGGGCCTTTTCCTGTCAAACTATTTCAAGTACATCAAGGCATATTAGATATAGACCTTGTATATCAAGGCATATTAGGTCTGAGAAAGGCTGTAAACCCAAGGGAATGGAACGTAAAGAAGAGGAGACCACCAAAAGAAAGATGATATGAAAGGAAAAGAGAAAGAAGAGAAAACAGAGAGATGTGTTATTAAAAAAAAAAAAAAAGGGCAGGAAGGGAATAGCCCCCCTGCTTCAGTCAGTCATATCTGGACTCTAGACTGTTTGATTCAAGCACAAACAGGTCTTTATACAGCTCCTTCAGTACAATATAAATGCTACGAGCAAGAAATTCATAAACCTGAAGAACAGAGCTTGCCCAGACCAGAATTAGAAAGCCCAGGAAACTTTGCAATAATTGGCACAAAGTAATTGAGAATTGTTTGTTAATGCTCTAAAGAGACAAAAGGTTTCCTAGCAAACCAAGTAAGTCGACACTTCTTTAGGACTGATAACTCTCTCTGCTAAAAAATTATATTCATTCACCTTGCAGAATGAAACAAGGGGAGACTCTAGAGGCTGGGTATCAGATGTATCAATTGCCACCTTTTTTTTTTTTTTTTTACCCAGACGAGTTACAGGAGAAGTGAAATTTTCACAACTGTATGAAGCTTTATGTTATATTGGCATTTTACCCGTGTTACTGTATCTGCATGAATGAAAGAAGGAAGATGGCAGAAGGAAGTTATTGATATGGGATAAAAACTCTATTCATGCCACTACGGTCACCACTGTAATTCCATCTGGGAATAAACAAAACCCCATCATTAGAGTATAAATATGGAGATGTAAAGATAGTATACCCATACAAAGTAATCCCACTGAGTTTAAAAAGACAGGCAGCTTTAATATAATACTGCTAGATAAACATGTGTGTGTGAGTACACGTGAGTGCTACAAAGTACCACGCAAGCCTCCCTTGCCCCTCAGCTCACCCTGTGGCTGCTATCCATTTGCTAGCGCCAGGCTGATTCACATTATACCACCAACACCACATTTCCCATTGCGCTTCACCCGATGTCAGTGTCAGGCTCATCTCAACCTGCTGCCGGACTACCAGGGGCACTTCTGCCTCAGGAGCAAAGAGAGTCTGGGAAGATGCACAGAGAGCAGGACAGCATCTGGCTCCTGGCTTTTTTTTAATCTCTTGCTACCAAAATCAATCTCTTGAGCTATGATAATAGCTTACTCCAAAGCAGACACAGAATTTTGTTTTGACTTAAAGTATCTTCATATTTAGACACTTAATGATCAACTGGACTTGTAAGCAGATGTGGACAGAGCTACAATGTGCATACGAACAAACAAGCAAAAAACATTCTTTTAAAAACCCTGCCAAAAGGGTAAGAAAGGCTCAACAGAAACAACACACAGATGTCAGGAGGGAAAAATAAATAACTGTAATGGCTCACGGCCACATGCAAATTGTGGCCGTATTTCCCATGGGCCCCTCTCTCTCTCTCTGATCCCACTGTGCTGAACTGATTTCAGCCTAACAAGCCAAATACAGTGGTCAGGAATACCTAGTGATCAGCCCTCCTTTTAAGATTATGTTACATAATAAATAATAATATCTTCCAATGTCTCCCAGAAGAGTAAGGTCTCTAGTGTTTTTTTTTTTGTTGGGTTTGGTGGTTTTTTTGTCTGGGTTTTGTGTTGTGGGGTTTTTTTGTTTGTTTGTTTGTTTGGTTTTTTTACAAGTTGATTAGTGTAGAGCACCCACAGAGAGGAATAGTGAGCAGAAGATGAGAGCTGAGAAAAGCAAGTACCTTTGGATGGAATGGGTGATGCGGGAGAGAGATATACATACAAGGACAGATCATCTGGGAGATGGTCTTAAACCAACCTAAGTTTGAAAAGAGATGAAAAAGCATAAGCAGCAGAAGCTAAACTACCCTGGCAAACACCGTTAGGGAAGATATGAACCAGAACACATCCATGTTTGGAGGGAGAAGCTATAAAAATATCTGGGGGGAGACTGGAAGGAGCACATGCCCACTACAATAAGGGCCCGTAAAGAGCTATTCCTCTTTCTTGCTGCTGCCCCAAGCTCGCCTGTGGGAGTTAACTTTTAGTTGTTTCACTGAGACAGTGCTGAAAGAGATAGTAATTTGCTTTTGAAATTAACTAAATTGCACCAGAGAGTTAATGCTGCTAAACAATGAGCCAGGGAGAGGGAAATGTCAGGACACAAAGGCATGTGGAGAGAGGCAGGTGGTGGCACCCTGTGCCCACATGCTTGCATCCACCAGTGGAGCCCAGGGCATAGCTCTGCCATTGACAGAAGTATCTGGGATTTAAAGATAAACTACATGGCCATGAAAAACCCAAACCAATTCCACCTCCCACCCAACACCAATTAATTGCAAGCATCAGTCTTTAGCCTAAATGCCAATTTGCTCCCTAGCATAACATCTTTCTACCACTGTGACTCCTTGCTTAAGCTTTTATTGTAAATTTTTCTCCAAAACTCATTTTCTGCACTGACTTTTAAAGAGGACCTTTAAACAAGACCAGATCTGCAAGCAGAGGCAATCCTGTAAATCATAAGCTATTTTTAAATCTTAAAGTCCGCCTGAGCAAGAATACCAAGAGGCAAAACTCCAAGGGGAAAGGTTTTTCCTTGTCTATTATCCTACACTACCACTGTAGGATCTCAGCTGGCCATACTGAAGAAATCAAACTGTAATGGCTCAGCATCATCCATGTGTTTGTACTCGGCTGTTGCTGCATTGTAAATAACAATCCAGCAGATGGCACAGTGAAATGACTCCGGGAGACTGGATGGGGCCCTCCCCAAAAGGGAAGAAACGTGGAGGATGGCTTTGCTCCAGCCACAGCGTTGTTCCTGCACAGAAACTCAACTCAGACTTGTGAGAGAGGACACCTTCTTTCCCTCTTCTGGAAACGGCCATCCGCCTGCACTGCCTGCTCAGAGCAGTCCCGTTTGGTTCGAGATTTGCAATAGGTAAATTGTACTGGGAACAAAAAAATAACCAGAAAATAATCCTGCCCAGACACAGCCAGAATGTCACTACTTTTTTAAGCTCCTGTATTTCACTGGGAGAAAATTCAAGGTCAAAATGTATAAAAATGGTGAGGCAACTGGGATTTTTCAAGAGAGGTCAGCTGGATGACACTACGGTCTCCACTAACGTTGATACAAATAGGACAAGAATTTCTCTGTATCTGTCTTTCTTTTGAGTTGTTTACTTTCTTCTACTGGTTTTGGTTTCTACTGAAGGCATGTAGGGTCCAGGAGGCACAAGTATCTACAGGTATTTGGTATATCACTTTCATCTCGGTATTCATTTCCATAAACAACTCACAACTCACAGGAATGAGACTAGATCTTCATTTTCAGCTTTCAAAAATTTGGAATGGTTTCAAGAATTTCTTACACTCCCGAAGCTGCTATGACCAATTTTCTGTCTTTAAGAGCATTTAAGAAAAATTAGTGATGGATTTTTAGTGTGTTAAACTGGAATTATATATAAAGCTATCTGCACAGCCATAAGGATGGGTGGTAGAGGGAAACGATATGTTGATAAAATATCAATTACTCCCATATGTGATCAGTATTTGCATATCTATAAGTATACTTATTCTTACTTCTCTGAATGCAAAAAAATGGGGGGGGGGGAACTCAGGGAAGAGGAAGAATTCATTTTGCAACAGTACGTGTGTCATTTTAAAGCCACATCAATTAGATTGACCTTGTATACAAGAATACTACATATTATTTTCTATATTTAATTTACTTGGAAATATTATAGCAAATGCTAAGGCACAGATTAACTCATCTGTTTCCAGAACTCACTCCTTTATGCCCATAGACGTTCAAAGGCTGCACTTCTAATTGCAAGCAGGCACAACATAATTTGGGAAAATTTCTTAGTAGGAAGGAGAGTGGAAAAGGCAATGAGAATATGGATTCCAGTTACGTGCAATCTCCGCAGTCATTAAGAACACCTACATGTTTAACTTTATTTAACAACAGCAGACTGCATAAGCTAAATATTTACAGAAAAGTCTTGGCTGGATCAGGGCTTTAACCAAACACAGGACAGACAAATGACAGAAGGAAGAGAGACTTACCATCTCGAGTGCAAAGCCCAAGCTCACGCTGGGAGCCTACAGGCCAGCCCAGCTCTCTTTTCTTGTTACAATGCCTGAGCCTGAGACCATCCATTCTCTTAACTTCCTCTTATGTACACCACATTAAAGGTGGGAGAAATAATTTATTTTTTCATATTCTGCTCATAAAAAATTAGAAGACAACTAAAAATACCCTGAACAACAGAACAGTTACTGTCTCCAGGCATGTTTCCTGGCTATCAAAGGCACTTTTCAGCAAAAGTACTCATTAAATTATGAACCTATTGTAACTATGTAAATAAGCCATAAATTAAAATAGAGACTCAAAATTATAGTAGGGCAATCTATAGAGTAAATCATCAGCTCTGTAGCGATACATCCAGCACCATCTGTGTTCCAGCACATTCGCTGTCTAACAACCTAACAGCTTCTAGAGTGCAAAAAGTAATGCAGATATTTATCCTCTGTCATTGTATTGGTTGCATCAAAAATAAGTCTGGGCCTCTGTGGAATCTCCACATGCTGGACTAAAGCACAGAAGACTGTTGAGATGTGATCTTGCATCATGTTTAATAAAGGACAATCCACCTACCAGAGAAAGGCAGAACAGAACTGAAACAAAGTAGCTGATGAGGGTGAAAGCTGGTGATTATTAACACCTGAAAGGTTTTTAGGTTTTATGATGTGTCTCCCAATCAGCAGTGAAACTCGATGAAGGACATAGTCAGAACAAAACCCAAACAACCGGAAACACAAAAGCAGTCATACCCACAGAAATCCCCTATCCCATATCCAACAGTTAAGAAGAAAAACTAACCAGGCAGGCTGTGTAGCACAGGGTAGTCTGACCCCGACCTGACGGGACCATTCTGCGAACTCCCCAGGCTCCATGGTGCTGCTGGTGGGATACACAGAGGGATGCTGCAGTAGCTGCAGCCCAGGGCTCTGCCCCTTCTCTTGGCCACGGGCAAGGGCACTGGGGGGTCACTGTCCTCCCCCCACAGCCTTTCACCGGGGTGTCGTACCTAGCTGTGCACAGAAGCCTTTGGGTTGGCGTGGCAGCCCTGGCCAGCCGGTCCCCGCCTCGGGCTGAACTTGAGCACCATGTAGGGTTAGGTGAGCTGGCTGCCAGAGGGACCCCGATGGCCACCTTGGAAGGCAGGAAGGTAGGACCCACAGGAGTAGTATCTGCTCCCGAATTTCCATTTGGAATGAATTGCTAAAATAACAAACTTATGCTCATAAACAGGCTACAAATAAATCACTCCCAATCACAGCACAGTGCCACTGGCAGGCCCACGTCCGTATTTTGATCATCGCACACATCCTTTTGTGGTTCGCAGGCTGCTATTCCTAGGAGTGACGCAGGCAGTTATTGTGGCATTCACCTGATCAGCAGATCAAAATAGCAGCTGTGGGCAACGCAGTCATGTGTACGGCATCTGACTACATCTGTACACTTTGGAGTCTGAGGCTTTTTGTATCACTTGCATCAATACTTACTGATGGCAGTGATACTCACAGAAGGTACACGGTTACCCTAAATACAAGGGAATTTAAATAACTGGATCTTTTGTGTAATCAAAGCTGCAAAAATAAAGCCCTCTACAACTTTAAGGGAATGTGAAAAGCAGTGCACAGGTAAAGAGGTTTCATGTGGTATTTTTACTTGCTTTAGTGAGGGTTGTGTGATAACGTGAAAAAAGTAGATGAGCAAGAGGCTGAGATAGGATCAAGGACGTCTCAAGATTATAGCAACATGAGTTAGCATCGCCCTGGGAAACAACTTTTTGAAGCAAGTGATTACTAGAAGTGAAGTAAGAAAGTGAGCAAAAAAAAAAACAACCCTGTTGGCTATTATTTACTCCTGCTCTGCTTGAAGAGACCCAAGCTAGGTCTGAATAAGCTGGCCCGCTTATATGATAAATGGCTGCGCCCTGCAGATACATTAATACAGGCCCCAGAAGCTGTTAGCACCTAACTTCACTTGTACTAACCCTTCTTGCCTCTCTGCTAGACTAACTGCTATGCTGACTAAATTCAAGAGCTGGCTCACTGGAATTTAGTTTTTCTGGTTAGCTTCCACATCGTGTTGCTCTTGGCTCTACCACCCATTTCTTCTATTAACTGAAGCCACTTAGAGGATGATGAATTCGGGCTGATTACTCAGGTCAAAGTAGCAGTACACCTTTTCAGTACGATTTCTGCTACCAAAATCCTTTGTTTCTGAGTTTCACAAACATAATAAGAAAACAGGATCTAAGACGAGCAGGAGTAACTTACCTGTTCATTTTTGGTCAGTCTTGTTTTGTTATGGATGTCAGATGTAACCAGGTTGAATCCATGTTTCTCTGATAAAATTCTCAAAAGCAAAACCACAGTTCGACTCCCACACTTTCCAACTCTGTTGTAGACCACCTGGCTGGGGAAAGGAAGTACCTAAATAAAGATTGAAAAAAAATGGAGTCAGTATATTGGTATTTTTGTTTCTATGTACCTCTGCATGTTTTGACTGTAAGCCAACAGATACATACAGGAGAATTTCTAGGGCCCTGCCCAGGTCAGAAGCATTCACTTCCACCAGCAAGCTAGAAGCTCTTTAGAGTAGAAACACATGGCTCAGGAGGTGGCAAGCTGAGATTTCCCTCTCATGATCCAGTTTAATGTAACAGTGCAGATTGGTAGCTACTCCAGAAACACTAAGCCACTGCTGATGTCTTCTAGTGAAGATGATGGTGGGCTTAAGCTTGCTGTTTGTAACCTCAATGCAAATAGTCAGCTTTAGTTGACCTCCTCCCACACAAAGCACAAAGAATGAAGAGGAGTGAATATGCACCACAGTTTGGCAACTCAAAGTGAAGTTGACGTAACACAAGAGGAATGCTCGAATTGCAAAACTTCAGCTTAAAAAGAAAAAAAACCCAACCAACCACCAGTTGTACAGAGCTAGAATTAATCAACTGTTTCAATTTCAAATATAAACATGAATCTTCCAAAGAGACTCAGAGAACAAATCATGCCACTGGCTAGGTACTTACTTATGGAATAAACAACACGGGGGCCACAGGTGGCCTGGAGGCCAACTGGCACAGCCTGATCACCTCCATACAGGTAATGTTCACTAAACCTCAAAACAGAACAGCCACATCCAACCAGCCCCCCGGGAACGGTCTCCAGCCCACGCTAACTCTTGCACCATGCTCCCCTCCCCAGGAAACCAGAACAAGCGAGTAGTAATTCACTGTCTTGAAGTACACTGGATGCAGCCTTGTTTTGTTCCTGGATGATATCCATGGCCTCTTCTTTCAGTAAAAGGCATTCTGAAGTCACACTATCGCACTAGACAAGTATTTGGCGTATAGCATATAGCAGCAGCATCTGATAATATAGGCCAAGAGCAATCTGTTTTCAAGCCTTTTAAATTGGCTAACATAGTCAGGAGCTCAGATATTCATCCACAGCAGTGCATATATGGCAGTCACTTACGGAAAGCTCATTTTTCTATTAAGACGACGGCACAAAATGTTTCCCAACACAGGGACTGCACCTGGGTTCCAGGCGACATGTGTTCAGCGCAAGGAACGGCTCACATGCCGAAGTGATGGTGTGTATCAACCTATAGTTACTTCTGCTGTTGATGCAATCATGTTCTCCCAGCAGAAGGTTTTCTAACATAAAAGCAGTCAGATGAGGCACATGGGCTTCTGGCACTTCTCATGGTATTTGAACAGCTAGTAGATCTTCATCAGGGAAGCAAAATGATTCCCAGGCAACCCTTCAGATTACTTTCAAAGAGGACTGCACACTAGAATAAAAAAAAAATAAAAGGAAAAAATCTGGATTCCCTTACATATAATGGGAACATACTGGCGCTTTGCTATCAATGTTACACTTCACGACCAAACGAACATTACTATTGTTACTGGTTGCAATCTTTAAGATATCCTTCACTGCAACATAAACATGGAAGCCATCATTTTCCAAATTACCTGGGGAGGGGGTAGGTATTTAGTGATCATGGCCTCGGTTAAGCTTTCCAAGTTCCAGGACAACACATCTGCTGATTCAGCAAGTAAACATTGGCCTCCCAATGCTCATACAAAACCCACATAACACACCAAGTCTTACTGTTTTGTAACGTTTTTATAGAGTTTTCTATGAGAAACCTAGCCCCCTTATTCCTTATCAATCTTTCCTTCAGAAGCCTTGCTTCCTATGAAATGCAAAATCCCAGCCTCAACGATTAGAGAACTCCAAAGGTGATGAATTTAACATGTCTGTGCTACAGCTATAGCTAACCTTTTCCAAAACAACTGCTAATGTAACATTTGAACACATTTTATTATGTTGATTATAACACCAGGGACACCATCATTAAAGTTTTTCTTATGCAAGAACACAGAGGAGCCATGTTCTAGATTGTCCCCTTTTTGATTCATTTCTTTGCGTAACAAAAACCAGCATCAGTATTTGCCACAGCCCTGCAGCATTCTCCACAAAACAACACTGAACTTGTGGAATGGGAGTTTCTCCTCTGCGCAGACATACACTTTTGGCATACTTTGCTGTGCAAGTATGTGAAAGTCTTCAAGAGAAATGCTAAGTAGACACTGACAAGTGCCAGTGAAGAAGCAAGAGCACATATAGCACGTGTTTGCCTAGCATCCTGGAAATGTGATAAATGATGAGACTTTGTAGGGCTATGGAAACATTTAAAAATGCTTCATAATTATTAACTGCTTTGATTTTCATAGCAGAGTTGCACTTTGCAATATAGCGAGCAAAATATTTTCTTCATTGGTACTTCATTCATTTCAAGTGGAATTCTGCTGCACCCAGATTACATTCGAGTTCTAATTAAATCCCTGACTTGATTAGCCAGTAACTTTGGGTGAATCTTATTAATACCATTCTTAAAAAATGAAACAACATTAAAGCAGACCTTTGTAAAGTCTCTATTCTAAGTACAAACAACTTTACCAGCTAAAAAAATGACAGTTGCTACCAAGTTTGGCCAGTTCTCACCTTTGTTTCTGAAACTCACCTTCCTACATAGCACAATTCTGTTCTGCACACAGAAGATAACCATGGCAACCCCCAAAAAGAAACCATAAGCAAATACTCATTGCAGATAGAGAAAACTGAAATAAAGGGCTATTATTTTCAGACAACTGTTTAGCTTAAAGGAGGCCAGTATCTCAATGCCTTGATTCAGTAAACATCTGAATGCACTTAGGTAAAACCAGACAAGATTCAAGATAAGCGCTACAGGCTCAAAGCTCGCTTCAGAAGAACACAGTCATTAACGGTAATCAAAACTTCACTTGCAGCACTGCTGGATGTGGCTAGCTTTAAGGATGCACTGCTGAAGCTTTGCTCATGTTTCGTCTGTTTACGTCACCATTCCACTTACACACCTAAATACACCAGAGGGTGTGCCCAGTACACAAAGCCATGCAGCACACAGGCTTTTGGTACATAAGCAAGTATTTGTTTAATGTGACCAGTTCCCTTAGGACGCTGCAAATCCGCTTTCTGCGTTTTAGAAAATGTCTAAGTAACTTCTTAGAAGAAGAAATACTTCTTCCAGAGACCTGAGTTTGTATCAGGCAGATCTAGAAATGCAAGAAATTGAAAACTTTTTCAGAGAGGAACTTCTTTCTTTTCCCCTCACGATACTCACAACAGACTCAGACGATATAAGAGATGGTGGCAGAGGAGGGACCTGAAAAGAAGGCTCCTATTTATATTAGCAGAAACAAGATGGAAAACAGCAGTTGGAGGTTTATGAAACGCTAATTGGATTACATTTTATTTTACAATGTAGAGTGACTAACTGCTGAGGTGATGCTCTGGCAACATGATGTTCATGTAACAATATACACAACTTCAAAATAATTACAGAGTGACTTTATTGAGCACTGCATCAAAGCCCAGAGGTAACAGAAACAATTCAAACATATAATTCACTTCGGAGTTATATGAATCAGTACTTACAGCTATAAAAAAGTAAAACCCAGAGTATAATTACAACAGCACTCTCCAAGAGTTTGGAAAGTTATATAACAATTTACTTGTCAGTTCAAACTGAGCTTTTTTTCTTTTGTTCCATAGTTAAAGATGTCAAGAACCATTGTGAATGAAATCAAGAAGAAAAAGCAAGTTTATCCCAAAATGAATTTGCATTACGGACGACAACTGTCAAGCAGCTCTGCAGGGTAGCTCTGCCAGTGTCAGGAGGGCAGCCATTTCTCAGATAGCCTGACAAAAGCCCAGGCTTCCATCTTCAGTGGTGGCTTTGTCTCCAGGTAAACCCTTTAAAAAAAAATTAGGCTGGATAATTACTTGCAGTGTCAACAATTTAGGGATCCACCCAAAGGTCTAAATCATTCCGCTTTTACTGAGTCAAATCCAGTATAATTTTGCCCATTTGCCAAAATTTTCCCAGCCCAGGTACAATTTGCCCACACAAATAACTCATGTCAGGCATACATGTTCCCAGAAAGCAATCCATTATCTTCACAACTTCTGCAAGTAAGTGACCCCTGTCCTTACTCATGAGAGGGGCCAGAAGTGGGTGCCAGAACTGGCTTCTCCTTTCCGAGCAGACGCTAACCTGTGGTCAGATAGTGCTCTGTGTTTATCAGGTGAATGAGGCCAACTAGCACAGACAAAACTAGTAAGATCATGAAAGCAGTGAAACATTTGCTGACATTGCACATCTCTATATAGCATCACATCTTCCCAGTGCAACCTCTCAATTTTTTTTCCTGTTGAACTGAGACAGAATTATAAGAATGTTAAAAATGGCTTACCGGGTCAAAGCAATGGCCCATTTGGCTCATGAGTGGTGGAAGATGCTTGTTAGGCACCTGCAAACCTGAGCACTGTCAGCAGTCCATTTCTCTCCAGTATCTTTCCTCCTCCTCCAATGCCCCCAAAGACTGCATATGGGATGTTAGAAGGCACATCCTTGCCCGTTCCCTGAAGAATTTCTTACACAACCTGCTATATCAACAAATTCCAGAATTCTGTTACCCACCATGCATTTCATTTTTAGCTTAGCTTCTACCATTTCCAGAGAATACCTGTTCTCACATGGTGGGTTTCATGAAGACAGATCAGCTAATTCAGTCACCAGCTTTGAGATCTTCTTAGATCCATCGGATGCCTCTTTTTAACTGAGGTTTGTCACAAGCCTGCCATGGCCTATTGAAAGACAAACTCTAAGGCCACTAAGAGATAACGTATTCCAAACCTAACTTCAGGAATTGTGGCATAAAATCTCATTCCAAACAAATATCAACTTATTCTTACTCACTTTTAAAGCAATTCCAATGAAGAATTGCTAACACAAAGATATGTCAGCAGAAAACATGACTAAAAGATGAAAAAGAGAGAAAACAAAATAAATTACTAGTTAGCCGCCTTCTTCCCCA